TAACATCTCGTCGACTTGGCAATAAGACTGCATAACAAATTACATGAAGAAGAATCAAATAAAGATCTCAGAAAATCTCCGCAAGAGCTTTAGGTGCCTTATACTATTACATAAGTGGCGCATTAGAGGTAGTTAAAGACGAGCTCGAACACGGAGAGAGCAATAAAGAAAACTAGGAAGTTTTCAATCTTAAAAAGGGGGTGATGTGATACCCCGTTTCTTTTGTTTCCCTTTGTCTCCTCTCTCTTTTTTGTAATACGCTTTTGAAGACATTTGTGCGCTTTTCCAAATGTCCTCCTTTGACAAATCCTCGCCGGATTTGTCCTCCCACTGTTGTAGACCGGATCCTCTCACATCGGATCCGGCCATAGTTAGATCTCACCGACTATCATGTTGTCATTCCCTTCCCATTTTCCTTATTAGTACTTTGTAGAGACGGACGCCTATATAAGGCGTCCTCTCCTTGCTCCAGGAATGAACACCAAGCAGCTTCTCAGTAGAATCACCGCACCGATCCTCTATTGAACATAACAGAAACAAAAGAAAAGAGAAAAGTAGAAAAGCGCTCTAAAAGCGCGACTTGGAGAACAAAGGAAAAGACAACTAATAAGGATATCGGAGAATCACACGTGGCAACTTCCGGAGGGCTTTAGGTGGAGGTAAATGTACACCTTATTATAACAATGAAATGCAAGGATTTCTTTCCTGTAGAAGACTTTTCTACGCATTCCCCTGATCAAAGTTTGAAGTTATCTTGCTTTCTCCTTCTCTTAGCCATCATTGCATTGATTTGTTTTTTGTACCCCAGCTGATTTGTAAACTGAGTGACTCTATGACAATATTGTCCCAACTTTGGTAGTTTCTCTGAAAATTTTAACTACTCTGATTGTTCTGAATCGATGGAATTTGTCAATGTCACATGTTTTCGTCTATGTAGTCTTCCTATGAGCAATCTTGATTTGATCAAGGTGTCAGTTCGCATCTTACAACTCTGCCCAACGTTCATGAGTACTACATAAGCCTATTTGGCATTTACCTTTTGAGAATGATCAAGACATTCAAGATAGAACTTAAAAAAAACCATTGCATTTCAAGCATTTCATATTTTTGTAACACCAACCGGATTAGGGCAGTTTAAGTCTGAATTTCAAGGCTAAGCACATTCATCAACCATCTGGTTGTCTTATAGCCAAGAAACTGTCTGGGCAGGGTGACACATGGTGGGCCATGTATCGAATTCTTGAGAAGATGTGGATCTGATGACTCTTGTGATTAAGACTGTCTTTTCAAAGTGAATTGAGATCAAACACAACCGATTTATATACCAGATGGTCATCTTCCTAGAGTCATTGATTGTAAAAAGAGATGGATAATTGTTCAATGATCTATTATGTGACACGATCAGAAGAGAGATGTGATATGAACAAATTCGATGGAATAGATGAGATCGTTTCATGTAACCGCTTAATGAGTTCAAGCTGATACAATAAATGGGTTCTGAAGCACTTCTGATATTAATATTGCGCACATGGGAACATGGAAGTCAAATGTCAATGGTTAAGGCTGAGGAGTGAGTTTTATGAATGGTCTCATTAGATCCGTACTCACGTGAGTCCTATAGCAAAACTATACAATGATCAAGAACTAGAAAAAAGTTTTGATGCTGCCCGTATCTTCAACATGTTTCGCTTTGTGGCTGATTTGGGGGGTGTAGAAGCTGCGGGTGTTGATCGAATCCGTCAAGCACAATCAAGACGTCGAGATTTACGGTGAAAGCGAAGCAAAGTCAGCTATGTGTTGATCAAGAACCACAGCGATCGGATCAGGTCGAGTAATCACCCTTTGAATGCATTTGAAGGTGGTTGGTTTCATTGCCTGAATAAGTTCGTTCAAACCCAAGGCCACTGTACTGTTGGGAGTGCGAATGACTGTCCATCAGCCTGGCAGTCGGAGGTTCGCATGGATTAGGGTAGTTTGAGTGTCCAGATAGGACATCGCTATTCCAGCCAGAGTCCGCGCGGTAGTTTGAAAAGCAGCTTCCTATGGTCCCATTAGCAACTGGAATCGGAGGTTCGGCTTCAAGGCTATCTTCCTGCATAGGACAGCAGCCTGAACCTGAAACAATGGGATTCGTCGGTGGAGTGCTGTGTTCAGGTGCTGCGAAAACCGCAGGAGATGAACAGAGCGGGCTGCTAAATGTGCTACCCGCGTAAGCTTCTTCCGTCTGGATATGTATAAAGATTTGATTAATTTTTCATTCATCATCGATTTCACACATGTAGATTGAAGGAAGAACTTTTCAGGCTCACATGATGCCTAGCCAAGAGATCGTTATGGATCCAACCAATCTTGTGAAACGCCCGAACCGCGCGAGTCTTTTTCTGCAGCGGCCATGTGGATTCGGGTAAGGTAAGGATCGCAGCAGTCATTCGATCGGTGATGTACCCCAAGGTCTGACATTGCGCAAAGAAGATGCGCGATTAGTTGAGGGTGATGTGGGACAACAAGGACCAGGCGCAGATTCGAGTGATTCGTTACTATTTGAAGTACATTTACGGGATACAAAGTTAAAACTGGGTTTTTTTCCCAGTTTCCCAGTTTTTGTTTTTGGCTGTGTTTGGAACTTTCCCACGTTCTCCCAGTTTCCCAGTTTGCGCAAACACAGCCAAAAAGTCCGAATTGGGAAACCCGGAACAAATCCGGGTTTCTAGTTTGTATCCCGTAATTAGAGTGGTTTTTGGCTTTGGTATCAGCAGGAAGGTTAAACTATAGGACGAGTGACAGCCTTGTGGATGTCACTCAGTCACCTATCTAATCCCATGCCTGGTGTTTGAGATACCTCGATGACATGCCGATGATTGAAACTTCATCCTGGCTGCCCGATTTCACCTGCCCCCTTCTACAAATCCTCTTTTACATATTTCAAGTGGGCAAACCCATAGCTATCATTCGTGTCATCTGGGTGAAAGGCACCTTGAAAGCCTCGATTAAAGTGCAGATGAGCACTTGAATCCAGTGATGTGCACTCTAAACCAGTCTCCAAATAGAAAATAGACTGGTTTTTGACGTCCTGCGCAGTTTTCTCATCACGAGATAACAGAAATAGCGATAGCAGAAAAAGGAATAGAAAAGCACCTTCCTATTCCTTCACTAACAAAAGGACTGGCTGCGTAAAAGCCCCCAATGCTGCGTTTGCCCGCGTCATCGGCTGTGTAGATGACGTCGAGCCTCACTGAAACTATAGGAGGCTCGACGTTTTAAAACGAATGTTAAAGTTGATCGGACTGTGCACAACGTCTAAAAGTGGTCCTTTGTCTACTTTGCAAGCGAAAACGTGAAAAATCTGGTAAAACGAGTACCATATCGACAAAATAGTAATAACAAATCACTCGAATCTGCGCCTTCTCTCTAACGTCTGAAAGGGCTTACCATAGCTAAATGTATATCTTTATTCGCCAACTCTGCAAGGGTTCAGAAGACTAACCAAGTTTAGGATATGACAGGAACAATGGCTCACAGTCTGCGAATAGAGGCTTCTTCTTGCCGGCGCTAAAAACCCTTGCACCACCAACATGCTGAATACCAATACGATTGAAGAACTCGAATATCTTCGATTCCGACGAGCCAATGTCAGCCAAGTACTTTTTCTTTGTGAGACAGACGTGATACTATAGGAGCGAAAAATCCCACTGTGGTAGATACAGGTCAAATGTACAGTCGATCTCAGAAATGTTGGAAAAAGCCAACATTTCGAGGTGAGGTCGGGGTCCGTGCGCGGAGCGGGGACACAGAGAGGATGTCAGAGACCACAACAGACACAAATACTGACGAAAACTTTGTTTTTGACAGCTATCTCAAGGCGAAACCTCGACAACTTTCCACCATCCTTCCATGCCCTCGACCACTCTCTTGCCCTCTTGCCGATGGCCACCCCATTTCTGTTTCTATTGGCTTGTATTCATCGGCTCCAATCCCTGTCCTCCAGTTTCGACTATCAGCGACCTGCTTCAAAATTGATCTTTATCGGCCATTTCACGATGTTTAATCCATCGATCACTCCTTCAACACCTTCGAACCCGAGCGCTCCACTTCCTACCAATGCGTCTTTGGAGGTGAACAGCAACGACGGAGCCGGGTTTGACCCCAGACACATTGTTGGCCAGTGTGTACATAGGTGGTTAGTGCTTACAATTTTGCCTGCCATTTGATTTTCTTTCCAGTGAATGACTTATCTCGGTTTACTGATTCACTTGACTTGCCACCTTTGCACGCACAGGGCTAGTCCACATGACCCTAACCAGACGGTGTTTTATCATCAAGCGAGCCGGTGCCAGTATACTCAACAACGTGGAACCACCAGTTCGGCACCTCCCTTATATAACCCAATCGGAGCTGGCTCTCAGCCGTTGGGTTTGGTGTCTCCTTCGCCTAGACCAAGGAATGTCCTTGTCAACCAAACGCCCTCGATTCAAAGCCTTGGTCAACACGACTCTTTGGATTCACAACAGATGAATCGGATTCTTGCCCCCAATTCCTCTCAATTGTCCAGCTTCGATGCCCATCAAGTGGTCCAAACACCGTCCGATTTCAATCATCGAACCAGGGAATTAACTCCTGCCGAAGACTCTTTTGTGGTTTTAGAATCTCCAACTACAACCATTCAACCTGGCAGACGTGATCCTATGTTTCCCTTCGGATATTCGAGTTTGGATGCACAACACTCCAGTCAAAGCGTTCGATTGAATCAATCCCAAGTTTCTCAAACTTCGACTAACGGTGTCATTCCTCCAACTGGGGACCATCACATACCTAGTCGGGAGAGTTCTTTACCGCCATCACCATCTGATTTGTGGAATGACGCTCATCATGAGAATCCGGCTGCTGGCGAGCAGGAAGCTGCTAACATGACTTTAGGTAACTCATCTTGGTTTCTTTCAAATTTTGATCTTTGGATTTTGATTGTTGAATGTTTTGTTTTATTCATTCTTTAGATGAACCTGAAGAGCTTATGCACGAAATGTGGTTCAAGTATGTAGTTCATTCACGCCAAGGTGTGGATCCTGCTCGAGGCCCGGCGGTAGCTAAGAATCGAGCACCGAAGATTTTCAGTCACACCTTCAAAGCGCGCAAATTTGCTATCAATATCAACAATTACTCCTTCTCGGACTTGAAGCAAGATCTTTTTGAAAGGATCAAATGGGTAAAAGTTCGGAAGGAAACAGTTTCATTTTCAAAGCGGCGGACTCTACCAACTCTGTTCACTATATAGCGTACATTCATAGTCACGATATTTACAATAAAGGAGCGGAGATGGAGTTGACATCCGATGAGGATGTCAAGGCCTTCTTTAAGGCTGTTGCGAGTCAACCAAAGCGGACTAGTGGTATTGACACATTAATGGAAGATCCCAACAAAAAGAAGTTGGAGGCTGAAAAGGTACGTTTTGATCTCTGTTCAGCATTAAATATCACATGATTTGTTAATGTGATGGGATTTGTCTTCTACAGATGCTTTCTATCGGTCAACATCAATCACAGGCTAGAAATATCAATGACAATGTGGAGACTTCGAATTCCGATCTCGCTCATACCACCCCAGTTGACCCAGTGGATACCGCTTTGGCCGCCTTAATGTTAAAATATAGCACTGCAAATAATAACAACTCCGAGGGATGGCGAGTGTACAAGCACAACGACATCACAAAAGTAATGCCGATGAATTTCCAATTGTTGAGAATTTGGGCGGAGCATATGGTAAGTTGCTATCGATTGACTCATTTATATTGATTCATTCTTTTTAATGATTGAAAACTAACCGTTTGATACCTTTGGCCAGGTTAAAAACCCTTCGAAAGTCACGCTGGAAGTGCCCCCAGAAGCCGAAGGGTTTGAATGGACCGATTTAAAGAAGCCCGTCGCTATGCAGACCCCCCTGAGCCCTGGAAATGGCATAACGGAGCAACCTGCAAAAATTGTCCCTGGCACCATTTCAGAAGCTCAAGGTTATGACATAGCTGTAGATCCATACGATTTAGACCGAATCCGTACCTACGCCACGATGGAGGAGTACATGGCCTTCGCCGGGGTTCGAGTTGAGAAGCACGACGAGGTCGCTGCCATTTTATTAGATCACGATATCGACCGTTTCAACGCTTTCCTTTATCCCGAAGAGACCGGTCTAAAAGACCTAATCGACATGGGCATCAACCGAGGAAGCGCTATGAGGTTAATGAACTGCGCCCGTCGCTTTTATCAATACATCCTCAGTGAAGAAGTGAACAACCCCAAAGAACCGTTTGATTCTAGCATGATCATCTAACGTCTCGACCCGGCTGATTGTTATCAATTGATCTTGTTTCTACAAAAATGTGACATGTCTTCAAACTCGAAAAATTCGACGGTTGGTTATGGGATTTTCTCTTTATCTTAGATAACTCAAACAAGGTGGTCTGTGCCCTGGAGAGGTTACTTTTTTTTTCTTGTGATAAACCCTCCGGATTTTTGTTTATCTTCATTATTTTCCTGCGAATGATACACCTACAAAAGGGGTTTATTTCCGTTGTTATTTCCATAGGAGTTGTCTCCCTCTTTATATTACCCAAAACACGTAGGTATTTGTCGATTGATGATATTATCTTCAAAGAAGTGTATTTGAAATGAAATTGCAAAGTTTGAAGTGTGCTACCACATGATCGAATCATCTTGTCCCACAAGATAAAGCGACCAAAAACTTCCAAATATCTCACATAATAAAATATCGACTTGATACCTTTTGAAAATATCAAGATGATATTTTCGAAAGGCAATTCGGAGTATGTTACATTGGTTATCCGAGATCCAAGCTTCAAAACGCGAAACCGAAGCAATAAGTCTTTTATTGCTTCAAACAAGAAAACATACACCTTTTTTTTCTTTTCGCAAAACAAACTTGGGTCAAACCTTCGAAGACAAAAGATTATGGAAACACAATGATTAATTTTTTTGTTGTTCACTTTAGGATAATTTGAAAGTTCATCCAAAAGCGAACACATTAGTTCACTTTGGGAACTAAGATTTTGGGAATAGGAAAATACTTTTTTTTTTTCTTTGGAAAATGAAATACACAATTAAGATAACCAACAAATAGGATAATTCTTAACCATTAAATTTTTTGAATAATGATGAAAAAGATAGTTCACAAACAAAACTATCTTTTTGCTTTCACTGAGGAAAGCGATTATATTTTATTTGAAAACAAAAACAAATTTGTATATATTTGGTTGTTTAATTTCTATCTAACATAGGTTATGTGATTCAAAAAATCAATCCAATTTAACCACCTTTTTTTATTTTGGCACTCATATAATCGAAATATTCTAATATTCACAAACGGTGAAAAAAAGGACAACCAAAATCAAAACTCCCAGTCGACCTTTGGGTGAAAACAAGTCAAAAATCAAACAAGGCTTACCTGGGCCTTTCTATTCAGGAAACTGTAGATTATAACGGTACCAATAAAACTGGGTCACATAGCCGCTCGAAACAATGAGCGGCTGCATAAGCCTCCTGGTGATCACTCTGCCGGCCACCCCTAGGATATAACTGCACTTGTCGTTCTCGAACCGCCAGCGTTGCTCTCGTTGCAGACGCTTCTTCATGCAGTTGAATGCTTTTTCGATAGGGTTAAGGTCAGGTGAGTACGCAGGCAGATATATTAATAAGATTCCTTTCTCTTTGCATAAGGCCTCGATTTTTCCTCCATGATGAATTTTGGTGTTGTCCAAGATCAGAACCGAATTAGGGCCGGGGTAAGAATTCATCACTGGGAGCTGCTGCTCTCGAGAGGGAGAGCATCATCAATTTTTCATTCACCAGGGCTTCAGGGAAGAACCAATCTGACCAGTTTCCGAGCTAAGAACAGCTCCACATGCACACGCTCCACTGGTCCTTTAACCACTGTCCCCGCGATCATTCCGGCCTCGCAAACGGCCGGAAGAATGGTCCAATGGTCGTTTTCTTGGTAGCGGGTTTCCCGGACTGTACGAGTCCCAGTAGGAGCCCAGCTCTTCTTTCTCGTGGCATCTCGACCGACAACACCCGATTCGTCTGATCGAGTGTAACATAAAGATAATCAGTTACATCAGTGATCATGTAAGTGTACGTGTCCAGAAAATCAAATATAATGAAAGATATTGGAAGACTTACCAATGAAAACTAGGTATTCCGCCGGAATATTTGCAATACGTTTTACAAACCTGACACGTTCTTCCAGCGACTGTTTTTGATGAACACCACGAGTTACAAGCAGAGATAATCCGAGTCGGCGCTTGAGCTCACGTGAAACAGTTGCTCTGGAAACATCTAGGCCGGTGATTTGATTGAGACGTTGTTGAATCTCATCGAGGTACAAGGCAGGTGAATGTGTAATGATGTCTTTCAAGACCATCAGATGATCATCGGATAGGACATGAGGTTGGCCTCTTTGTTTGTAAGTAGCTGGATCTGCTACGACTCGGTTTGTTCGGATATACAAGGCCTTCCATCGGGCAAAGGAGTTGTAGGAAATCTTGGTTCGAAGCGTTCGGTTGATATGCGAATGACTATGACCATCCATGACCATTTGGATGGCTAACGACTTGATGTCTTCGGAATAGTGCTGAAAACCCATGTTTTGACGGTTAGGGATGGTGATCTGGAGCTGAGGAACGGGGGTAGGATTCGATGGAGGGGACCGATTGGGGGGAATCGAGAAAAATGGGGTGCCCATGATGACCTTTCGATGGAAGCTGTCGAGTGGAGGTTAGTGAAAATCAAAGCGACATGTGCCATGACTTTTTTGAAGGAAAAAGTCACCTCATGTCACATCATCTCTGTGTCACCGCTCCGCGCACGGACCCCGACCTCACCTCGAAATGTTGGCTTTTTCCAACATTTCTGAGATCGACTGTAGCTCACCTCCATCTCATTGTAATCAGAAGTGAAGATCTATTGCGTGATTGGAGAGACATAATATTGTCAATGATACGGATCTCTGAGTTGTTGGTAATGAGGGGTGAAGGGTACGTGGAGCACCTTCATTGCCCATTTTTTCAGAATGTTTCGCCTATGACCACAAACAATGAGCATGATGGAGCCAGTTGGGAGCATATTTAGGGTCTTCCTAGACCCTCTTGCTGAATCTCAAGCACTTTCTGAATCATCACTGTCACTCTCGTCCAACATTTTCATTCTTAAAAACCGCTTGGGCAGGGGCAGAAGCTCTTTG